ATTTAGCTGCATTGCAAAAGGCTCTTGATGATGATGAGTTGGTTTACCTTGGGCCACACTCTTGAAATGCTAGCTTAGCTGTCAAGCTTGTTTCTTTGTCTGCACTTCTGGGGCAGGGTGTTACTGATGCTGAGGGTGTTACATCAGATGTTGCTTTGGGGTTACCAAAAGGAAATCTCAACACTCTCTCTTGGTGCTGGAGAAGGGATTGCTGAGGTGTCTGTAAATGAGAAGCAGATGGCTGATGGCATGTCTGGGGCATCCATGTAATTGTGAAGTCTGCTTCCGTGGCTCCCTAAAGCAGTCAGTCTCTGCTTCTGGACTAGGAACTCACAGTGGCGAAATTGTGTGCCTGCCTGTCCCATAGAAATGCTTTAGGTAATTTCTCACAACAACAACAAAATCCCCCTTATATTGCCAGGTGCCACCCTGAGCTCGCTATGGCACCCCAAAAGATGTTACGTCAGTTTTTATTTTCTTTTTTTATCTTGGAACTGCTAAGGCAGCGCTCTGGCAAGTATCCAAGGCATGGTTTGAAATAGGGATGAGGGGATAAATTTGATTCAATTCACATTTAAAAACTAACTTACCTAATTTGTACTTTTCCAAACAACATGTGAACTGAAACACAGCCAGCCTTTGAAATCTGCACCTTTTTTGTATTTTGCAGTGCTGTTCTCCAGCCAAGAAATGTATACAAAAATGCATTATCTTAGGTTTAAATGTGCATGGAAATAAAGATAGTAGTGAAAATAAAATGCATTCTATTAGGGGGAATGGTTTTGCAAACAGTCTGTGTACATTTGGCAAAATAGTGTACAAAATGTGTATATCAGGGTAAATTTGTTGATGAATCTTCATGGACTTGTAGTGTTGGAAGGGACCACAAGGGTCATCTAGTCCAAATCCCTGCAGTGCAGATATCTTCCACCCAACATGGGGCTCGTGCCCCTGAGATTAAGAGTCTTGTGCTCTACAAATTGAGCTATTACCTGCGTATTAATTTTTTTAAAAAAATCACAAACTGATAAGAAAATATGGAGAACTGAACTTGTGATTGGGAAAACATGAGAAACTGAAAGGGACCTAAATTGACAGATTCACCCACCTGTAGCTTTAAGTGCTTGGGGAGGTGCTTTGTAAGCCATTATCAAGTCCAAACTTTTGTCAGACTACCTGGATGGTTGAAATGAACGTCATTATTATCATTATTTTATACTCATATTAGGCAGGCTGTTTCCCGACTAAACGATAAAATTGTAGACCATTAACCGTATGCATCTTTGCAGTTTACTAAATTAATTTGAATATGAATTGAAACAACAGTAACTCTGAAGCAAGAAGCATAATTTCTGTATGTTTCCGAATACCACGTGCTGGGAACTGTAACTGGAGAGGTCCTCAGGTCCCACTTTGCAGGCTACTGATTGGTTGACTGCAGTGAAAACAGAATGCTAGCTTCATGAGCCTTTAGCCCAGGGGTCTGCAACCTTTAAGACAAAAAGAGCCACTTGGACCCGTTTCCAAAGAAAAAAAAACCCTGGGAGCCGCAAAACCATTGCAACATTTAAAGCATGCACGCCGCTGCCCTCCGATCTGACAGCGAGCGGGAAGGTGACGTCGGGACGGTGCGTGACTAACGCACGCACCGCCCCATGCGACGTCACAGCCAGTACAGCGCCCGCCACAGTGGGGAGTGTCGGGGCGCACAATGCGCCTCCTCCCCTTGCTAGTATCCATCCCGGAGCCGCGGCAAAGGTGTAAAAGAGCCACATGCGGCTCCGGAGCCGTGGGTTGCAGACCCTTGCTTTAGCCTAATCCAGCACAGCTCTTTTTATGTTGTTAGTTGACACATATTGTCAAGCAGGCCCCCATCTTAGAGACATTCCAGAAAGGATGTTTTTTTAGTTTTGATCGTACTTTTCGTTAAAAAACAACAACATTGCTACCAAATTTCGTTGGGGGGGCATCTTTTGATGTATGGAATCCATCTGGTCAATGGAATATATATATATATATATATATATATATAAAAACTTCACGGTCCTATTTCTATCCTATTTATATGCTCCTGTGTTTGGGGTGGGGAAGTTTTTCCCAGAGCACGTTCCCTCCTGTTCCGGTGTTGCTAGGGAGCAAACTGCTTGCATTTGCTGATCCAGTAAAAAACAAACAGCCAGCTGACTTCAGCAGGTGTGTGTGTGTGTGTGTGTGTGTGTGTGTGTGTGTGTGAAGAGCATTTGCTGATGCCATTCAGAGCATTGAGATGCTTCCATATTTCCTCCCGCCAAAAAAAAAAAAAAAATCAGCACCATCAACTACTGCACTCCTCAAAATCAATAACAATGGTTCTGCCTTAAACTCTGCTTGTTTTCCCAGGGAGTGGGCAGAGGTGTACCTCAGGTTTGGCAAATGTGGGGGCCCAGGCCTGGAGTGTGTGTGCAAAAAATCACCTATCAGACTATGGCATGTGTTGTGTATGTGTGTGTAGCGACACAATGCCACTGTCGCAACAAGATCAAACACGGAAGAAGTTTCCTGTCCTTCTCAAACTGCAGCAGAAACACATGCACATTTTTTCACCCTTCCTCCTCGCCTCTCCCTCACTCCTGATGCTTCGAGCACTTGGGTCGTGTGAAATGTAGTGATTTCTAATGTGCCTATTGCAGCACAGCGATTTTTTGTTTCCAGGTGGGGGCACCAATACAGCTCCCTGCCAAGTGCACAAGGAACCCTACGTATGCCTTGGGGAATGGGGCATGTATGTGTACAGGGCTCTGGTAGATTAGCATTTTCCCTAAGCCCCGCAAAAAAAATACTGTACTATGAATTAGGTTTACCTTTGACGCATGCAGCTGTTTTCTCCAGTATGGGTTCCACAGTTACGGTATGCAAAGTGACTGAAATTTAATAGTGCTTCCCAAGCATGTTGCATTTAAAACTGGTATTTCTGTACGATTCCACCACTCTCAACTATGCAGCTGATCAGGTTGATTTTTTATTTTACTTTTTACTTTCCAGTACAAACCGAATATCCAGTGGGTGCTGCAGTGATCAGATACTTGATAAGTACCTATTAGAGACTGAGTGGGTTTGGGACACTGGGAGTTAACTCCTTCTGTGCAGTAAATTATAGGCTGCAGTGAGATGCATTGAAAGTATTGTACCCTTGGGTTCCCTTAAAACTGTTTTCGTTCTATCAGTATTGAAGTTTCTGTGATTTGATACAGTCAGTAAATGCGGGAGGAAAAGAGATTTGAGAGTTCTTATTTCCTAGCAAATAAGTATCTCCTTGGGGGGAAAATGCACATAAGAAGTGAAATCCATATTTAATTATACCATTAGCATTTTAAGCTGATACTCTTTTATATACTGTTTCTGTGCCCCCACCCCCACCCCCACTTTGAAGTTGCAGCAGGGAGAGGTGACTTTGAAATAAAAGGATGCAAGGGAACAGGTGATTGAATTCAAGTATAGTGATTTAATGCTCTGTTGGTATCCTGATGTATGATTCCATTTCTGGGGACCATGAGTTTCTGCGCAAGTATTATGGCATGCTTAAAGCCATATGGGAATGATGTTCTTTCACCCTTAAAGGGTTATCTCATGAAAAATAAATCAAATTGTCCTTTTATCACTGCTGTCCTGGAAAAGTGCTACTGAAGTAGGGAGGTCATGTTTAGTCTTAGGTATAAAGCAATCTTCCACATGCCTCACAGCATTGCCCTGCCACAACATTAAGTGGCCCTTATGCACACTGCACACTCCTGCAATGGAACTTCCCCTTCCTCTCCCCTGTGCACTCCCTCCACCCTTCAAATCTGCCATTTCCCCAACTCTCCACAGCAGATAGAGGTGTGGGGAAACGTGGCACACAATGACATTGTTGGATTTTATACCTTGTAAGTCACTTTACTCTTCCACCAATTGCCAAAGAGGATGGAGCAGGAGTAAGGCTGCTTACAAGATGGTGAGGCCAGCCTCCAAAGCACTATAAAGGTAAAGGGACCCCTGACCATTAGGTCCAGTCGTGGCCGACTCTGGGGTTGCGGCACTCATCTCGCTTTATTGGCCGAGGGAGCCGGCGTACAGCTTCTGGGTCATGTGGCCAGCATGACTAAACTGCTTCTGGCGAGCCAGAGCAGCACACGGAAACGCCGTTTACCTTCCCGCCAGAGCGGTACCTATTTATCTACTTGCACTTTGACATGCTTTCGAACTGCTAGGTTGGCAGGAGCAGGGACCGAGCAAGGTTCTGTGATTTAACCCACAGTGCTACCCGCATCCCCCAAACACTATAAGAAGCCTCTTAAATGGTGGGTAGTAGAGAAGTCACCAAAGAATGCCATTTTCAGCACTATCTCTACAGCCACAGTAACATGTACACTAATTCTAAAGGTTATAAAAGGACTTTGCAAGGAGGTTTACAAAGCCAAAATTCAGATAACCAGAGTTCCAAACATTTATTTGTGAGGGCCCTATTACATGAGGATTCAGTGAGCTGGTGGTGTTGTTTTGCATGGAGAGACAACTTTGTGATAGCAGTGACATCACTCAAACTTCTCTGATTCTTTTGCAGAAAAGTAATAGTTGGTATGTATCTGAAGAAGTGTGCATGTACATGAACGCTTATACCCAGAACAAACTTAGTTGGTCTCTAAGGTGCTATTGAACAATTTTTAATGTTTTTTTATTTAGTTCAATGTTGGGAAAGCAAAAATTGAAATCACCCTTAGCTTAACTCTGAGGGTTGTTCTGAGTGACTATTAAACTTTACCTGTGATACTCAGGCACTGCCAGCCAGCAACGTGTTAAAATGTGTGAGACTCAAGATTTTCAAATGCTTGGTATCAACACAGCATTATAAAATGTCAATGAAACAAAAAGTTGTAAGAAATATTTGTCATACCAGTTAAGAATTAACTGGGTTGGGACCTACGGGTTAGGAAGCACTTGTTTATAATTTGCACATCAGTCTGCTGTGATTTTTGTTTTGGTAGATGATGGCCCTTACTCGAAAGGGAGCAAAGACTCAGGTGGACTGGATACAGCCCTGGTTTCAAGAAGGCAAAGTATACCAGGTAACTGACATTTTCTTTTAGCCATGTATACCTTTTTGAGGTCAGTTAGGTTTCATTCTTTTTTTAAAAAAAATAATATTTATTAAGAGTTTCAAAATTACAAAAAGAAAGGGGGGGAAAGAAGAAACAGCACTACAATACATAAAAAAGAAGAAGGGGGGGAAAGAAAAAATACATAAAAACCAATACAACAACACAACAACAAAAAGAAAAAAATACAAATCCCATATTGCATATCTTTACCTTTCATTTGCTTGTTTCATTGACCTCCTCACACCTCCCTTTTTGTATTCTAGCTTAATTAGTTGTTTCAGCAAATTCTTTCCATCTTTCTCAATTTTTATTAAATAATTTATCTTAACAGTCTAACCTATTACTTAACTCAGCAGATCCTTTCCATCTTTCACCATAGTCTGTTATCAATTTGCCTTAATTTATTTAACCTTATCCTACCGTAAAATACCTTAGAGCTTAAATCTTAATACTTATTTATACATAACTCCTTATATCATTTCTACTAAAGCCAGATAGTTTCATTCCAACATTTTCCCTAATATTCATTAATTTACACTAATTCCCAAAATAACAATTTTTCTTTATAAACTTTCTTCCAATCTCCATCCAACATCCCTTCTTCCTGGTCTCGGGTTATGTCAGTCCTTACTGTCCATTCCATCTAGTCCATCAACCTGGTAATCTTATGTCCGAGGCTCTTAAGTCTCTTCCATGCCCCTTCCAGTTAGGTTTCATTCTTAGTTTGGTAACCACCAAAAGTGCTTTGCTGGGTGTGGCAGAGCCGCTTTGCTAACTTTCTGGCAGGTGGGTTGCTTATTGGAAGGGACTGGTGCAGTGCTCACATCCCAGCAGAAGTTGGGTGGGTACTCCTGGCCACAGGCTCACCTGGTAGCTGCAGTCGTAGGTTTTAATTTAAATATTTCCCACTGTGTCAACACTACATCAGGGTCATAATGGGAAATTAAAATTGCTGCTGCCAGAAATGCATGTTTCTTGGGGGGGGCAGGGGCATGTTAAAAAAGGGATTAATGTTGCTGAGCTCTAATGGGGGCACTTGAGCCCTGGAAGCTGCCTGCAGATGCTAGTTCCTGATGCAGTAAACCATGGTCTGCACCAATGGCAGTAGAGATGTGTTGCTGCACCAAGGTTAGCTCCAAAAATTAAAAGGAGGAAAAATTGCATCTGATGAAAAGGCATGCAAGCCCTGCAGCACTCCTGACCTCATAGCCATAGTTAAGAGATGGAGCAGCATTAGGCTCAGGTAATTCCTGTAATAATCATAATCATAATCATAATTACAAAGCCAAAAGGAGGAAATGGAAGAAAATGTTGAAGGTGGGGAGGAAGAGAAAAAAGCTATTGAGGAGCACATTCCAACTACTACTCATTTTTATTGTTCCTTCAGTTTTGATTGATCAGTTGCATGAGATGCGATACATTCTGTAGCAGCTTGAGCCCGTAATAGTGAAGACTTGTAAAACATGCTCTACTCGTATGCATTACAAGGCTGGAGAGTGATAAATATTTATAGGGGGACCATTATGCAGCACTTATTCACCTTCATTCATGCATTAATGTCAGATTATCATTTAAATGGCACAGGTGTGATATTCTTCGTTCTTCCATTACTTGAGTGTCCTTGGGCTTAGGCCCATTTGCAGCCACCTGTGGATACTGTGGCACCTGCACCCGTTTGCACCACGGAGAAGTTCAGAGTCATCAATGCAATCCAAAGCAGGAAATGCATAGAAGAGAGAGGAGTGGACCCTGAGCGCTTAAATTGACGCATAACATTATACAAGAACTAACATACAGCAAGCCTTTTCCTCTTCTGAAACAGAGAGCAAGTAATAAGACTTCAAACAAAACAAAAAAACCAGCCTGGCACACTATCGACCTTATTTTTTGAAAGATGTGTGCCAAAGATCTTGGGCAACCCTTAGCAGAGACTCACCTAGCCCCCCCCCCCAACATAGGCAGCTTGGGAAAAATAAAGTAGGAAGGACTGGGGAGTTATTAAGCACTTTGAACATCTCCATTGTCTGTGATGTTGTATATAAATGCTGAAATGTATTTTTCACTGTTTTACTTGCGAGCTGTGCAGTGTAACAATGTCTTCTTCCTACATTTTCTCCACAGAAGAATTCAGAGGAGTCACAATTGTGGAACTGATTAAAAAAGAAGGAAGCACCCTTGGCTTAACTATATCTGGTGGTACAGATAAAGATGGTAAACCAAGAGTTTCCAACCTGAGACCAGGAGGGCTGGCAGCAAGGTAAACCAAGCACATTATCAAGGATAGACTTCATTGTCTTGGGATCAGGCATCACCAGGGACCAGCAATTGGTTTAAAGCACTTTTTGCATGTTAGATAGCTAAAGAATAACGTCTTTCAGCCTCACCTCCTAACACAACTTTACTAGTTATGCTTCAGCAGGTGCATATTATAAACCTTTTCCTCATTTCCCTGAACCTTCCTTATTAAAAAATAAAGAAAAATGCTTTTGTGCACGGTTATCAAGTAATATCTGCTGTTACTTTCCATATGGAGTTTAAGTTCACATTCCTCATTATGTAGGTAGTTCTCTCTATTTAATAAGCCAGTAAGGATGTAATTGCAGATCATGTGAAAAGGGTGCTGGAAAGATGCAATTGAGATGTTTTGCTTTGTTGCGTTTATTGCAGGAGCGACCAGCTAAACGTTGGTGACTACATCAAGTCAGTGAATGGGATTAACCTGACGAAACTTCGGCATGACGAAATCATAAGCCTTTTGAAGAACGTGGGGGAAAGGGTGGTGCTAGAGGTAGAATACGAGCTGCCACTAGCGGGTTAGTACCTCCTGGATGGAGTTACTGCTGTTATGTTTCAAGATGTAGGTGGCTTCCCCTCTCCTCCTTGCCTCTTCTACAAAAATTGGTTTGAACCATCAGATCATTCAGCCATCTTGCTCCAGTTAGTCTCCATTGACTGGCGGCAGCAGCAGCTATCTGTAACATTTCAGGCAAAGGTCCCTTCCAGCTTTGTTCTAGGAAATTCTTTTAACTGGAAATGCCAGTGATATGAAACCGGGATCACTTCCAGTGACTAGGTTGGATCCAGAATTCTGGATGCTGTTGCTTGTAAACATTTAGCAATCCACAAGATTTTACAGGCAGTAGCAGATGGAGAAAACAAACTGTTTCCACCTGTAACTGGTGCCCCAATTCTACTGTCTATGGATATTTGAGCAGATGACCGATCAGATTCTTATTTACTCACAAACTGAAGCATATGCTCTTGATGGTGATATTATTACCATTCTTTGCATTAATGGCCAATCTTTGCACCAGGGAGCTCAAGGTGGCATTTGTTTTTTTATTTAGGTAATAAATTTTTTATACCACTTGGTAGTAAAAAAACAACAAAACCCCTTCAAAGCAGTTTTAAGTATCACATTTCCTTTAGGAGTGTTCAATACAGGCAATCTTCTTGGCCCTGCGTGCATCAGCGGAGCATGCATAAGCCTGTCCCCCCCCGCCCCCCATCCCATTCCACCCCATTCTGCCCTCTTCTGGGTCCAAAATGACCCACGCATCAGTGGTCACATGTCAGTTGAATGTGCACAGAATGGTCACTGCCTGTACTTTAGCCATGCTTTCTACTTTATAATCAAACTATTCTTTTAGCTGTGAAGATTTGAACATAGTCATCTAGGGTTGCCTGCAGGACTTTTGCCTAAGATACCCGACAGTCCAGTTACCACTTCCAGCTTCTGAAAGGTGCAATCAGATTTGAAGCTTCCAGGAAAAGGGCAATGGTTTGCTTTAGTACAGTATTATGTATGCATTAAGAGAGCTTGAGGGCAGTCTAGAAGATTGGATCTTGATTTAGCCATATTTTTAATTCTGTTTAATAGCTTCATATACTTAAGGCAAGCATTCTTTTCACCTGCTTCAAAAGCCCCTCATATTGCAAGATTTATGAATGTGATTAGGCAAATTTTCGTATCTGATGAAGAATGTTTTTTTTATATATATATATATAAAAGTATGGCAGGTTTAAGGATGTCAATTCACCCCTTTTCTTCCCTATCTCTAGCCCCGGATAACAGTGCCGGCATCATTCCAAAGACCATTGAAGTCACCCTGTACAAAGAAGGCAACAGTTTTGGATTTGTACTACGAGGTCAGATTCTCTTTGGTTAATGATGATAAAACTACATTGATGGGACATGTAAAAGTGAGGGAGGGGATAAAGCCAGCTATTCTATATAAATCAAAATCCTAAGCTAATAATCATATAGCACAATCTTCGAAGAATGCTGACAAATACAGTTTTGGGGTTCCATCTTTATTTCAGAGGTTCTTTGGGTTGCATCCATCAAAGTCACATGGCTCACAGAATGACTTCTGCTCAATGCAACAGAATGTCTCCCCTCTGAACGCCCCTCAGATCTGTTTGCGAGAGTTGGGGCAACCCCCAGATCAGATTTGGGGATGTGCAGTGGAAGGAGAGGGAAGGGAATTTCCATTTCCATTAGCAGATGCCTTTCCATGCACATAGTGACTCATTGGACTGAGTCCTTTAATAACTAGGGTGGAGAAGGGTTCGTGTCTTCTGCTGTTGTACAGATTTTTCCTTTCTTAGCATTACAACATTTATTTGTGTTTGTTTTTTTTTTTTTTGCAAAATTGTTACAGGAGGAGCCCACGAAGATTGGCACAAATCCAGGCCATTAGTACTGACATATGTTAGGCCAGGTGGTCCAGCAGACAGGTAATGTTCACATTTAGCAACGGAGCTTAAACAAATAGGTGTTTCGCCAACCTACCTGAAGCTCTTAGTACAGGCATAGGCAAACTCAGCCCTCTAGATGTTTTGGGACTACAACTCCCATCACCCCTAGCTGACAGGACCAGTGGTCAGGGATGATGGGAATTGTAGTCCCAAAACATCTGGAGGGCCAAGCTTGCCTGCGCCTGTCCTAGTAGGTCTGCATACCAGCTGTATATCTAAGTTTGATATCTGGGCGTACTCTCTACATGTCTCTTTTTCTCGACTTTCCCCCAAATGATCACTAGCTAGTGTTTCAAGAGACTGAAAATAGTTTCAGGCCAAATTCAAATACTGATTTCCATGCTTACCACTAATTTGTGCAATTGATTTTAAAAATAGCTGTTATGTATGCTCTAATTGAGGCTGACGGTTGATAGATTGTTGCAAGATCCCTTGTCTCAGCCTTTGCCAATTTGGTGCCCTCCAACTGTTTTAGACTACAGGTGATGGAGTAATTACTACTACTACTGCTATTACTACTACTACTACTACTACTACTAACAACAACAACAACAACAACAACAACAACAACAACAATTTATTTATATGCCGCCCATCTGACTGGGTTGTCCCAGCTACTCTGGGCGGCTTCCAACAAACACAGTAAGACATCAAATGTTAAAAACCTCCCTATACAGGGCTGCCTTCGAATGTCTTCTAGAAGTCAGATACTTGTTTATTTCCTTGACATCTGATGGGATGGTGTTCTACCTTGGTCCAAAACAGCTGGAGACCAGTATGGGGATAATTGTTCAAGCAGCAACATCTGTGCCATTAAATCTACCTGGAAAGGGGGCCAAAGAAATATTTGTCTTGGTAAGCTAGTTATGAACTGACTTCCCCACTTACTCCATTTGAACGGATTCCCAATTACACATGCTCCCTGGGCGACTCATAAGAATGAAATCCAACATAATACAAAGCACTAAAGGTAGCAAAGAAACATTGTTCTTTCCGGCAGATGTGCAATAAAAGTCAAAACACAAGCTGTTTGAAAAGCTGGTTTTCTGGTCCACATATGCTTCATTTGGGGGGGGGGGTCGGTCTGTCCTGGTTTGTATGTGTTAAGAATTGTGTGCAATTTTCCTGCAGGGAAGGGTCTCTGAAAATTGGGGACAGGCTGCTGAGTGTTGACGGGATTCCCCTTCACAGTGTGAGTCACGCTGACGCATTGAACATTCTTCGCCAGTGCAACCAAGAGGCACTTTTCCAGATTGAGTATGATGTCACCATAATGGGTAAGGGCTTTTGGATTCCCTCAGGGGGGGGGGGCGCACAGGCTTTGGCCATGGGGAGGGAGGAATTCATTTGCATTTTCTCCTCACCCAGTGCAGAATATATTGATCTGTGGGTAGTGAAAATTTAAAAGTTTAAAATTACCACAGCGGCCAAGAGGAATGGGCTAAAACATTATAGTTTTTTAAAGCAAGCTTAAGATAGATAATTGGGTTTGGAGGTGTGCTCCTGGAGTCATACAGTAAATCTAAACTAGGTATGCTTTCTGAGGGACATTCAGTAACATTCCCGAGTTCTGCTTCCCAAATTTCATGCACCAGTTTTCTTAAGCAACAAGTGCATAGGCTGAGACAAGTTAGCTGATTGTTAGCAACATCACAAATTAATACAAAATGATGGAGTAGCAGACAAGTACTTTGGTGCAAATGTTACAGTTACTACTGAGCAAAAGCAGTGAGGCAATGCATTGTCTTCTCAAGGAAAGCTGTGGGATGTTTTGCAGAAGACATATAGACTTGGAGGTGGTTATAGACACAGAAGCATTGGCTCTGATGGAATGAACCCTGATGTCGTTACGGAACATGGCTTGATGTTTACCGTATAGCAGAGAGTGTAAATTTCCCCCAGAAATTTAAACCTATTAAGCCTTCCATTGTATGTTAGAGGCAGGTGACTCAGCTGAACAAAGAGAATATAAGCCAAGCTTGCTGGATCAGGGCAATGATTTAGTCCAGCATCCTGTTCTCACAGTGGCCGACTAAATACCTGTGGGAAACGCCCTGCGCAATGCATAAAGGTCCCAAATAAAGTAAAAAATGAATTGAAAAATAGAAAATTATGCTCTTTGGCACATGAACATTAAGCTATTGCCATAGGCGCCGACTCCATGGGGCTTGAGGGGGCCCGAGCCCCCTCAAAAATTCGTTTGGGGGGCTCCGCCCCCCAATAATCTCCGGCGCCCCTCCAGCAGAGCGCCATCGCCGCCCCTCCCCCAGCCCAAAATGCACAGGGAGGGGCGGGCTGCATGCCTCCTGCCCTCCCTCCCGAGCAAAAGCTCCACCCAATTTCCTTTGGAGCTGATTAATAGGCGCAGCACGCTCTCCCCTATTCGCTCACGAGGAGGCGGCGCCACTTTATTTGCATATTCATGAGCTTATTTATTATTCATGAGCTTTCCCGGGCCCCCCCAATATTTTTTATAAGTCCGCGTCCCTGGCTATTGCGTGGTAAAGGAGAGCAGATAACCTGCCAGGTGAATATTCCAGACAGGAAGATCTAGTCTCCTGTCCCCATATCCTTAAATCACCTGAAATGCCAGTAAATGCAAGAAAATATTTGTTTCTAGGTTTTAATATATGCCTTCATTCAGATCACATTCTTCCATCTATGTTCAAAGAAGAAGAAAAAGGAAAGTGCTTTGTGTTCTCATGCTTTGTATTCACAGACCGAACAATATAATTGAAACATTCATTTATAAATCGTTATCTATAGTCATCTGCCGCTTATCTTGTTAGCGAAGGAGAAATATGGGAGTAGAGAATATGCAGAAATTGGCTATAGGAGGGAGCATAAACAAGGGATTTTATGGTGTCCTTAGGAAAGGATGTGTTCCCCTCTCTCTGGCAAAATTGTTCACAGACAAGAATATAAAGTAGTGCCTATTAAAATCGATGGGGTGCTTGAGACTTGCCTGAACTTAAATCTGCTGCTAGCCCTTGGACCATGTTTCCTACCCTGCACAGCCTGTATGTTTTCTCTTCTCCTGGTTTCCCTAATGCTAGAATACATACGTTCAAAAGACCCTCAGTGTTCGGGCTTCAGAGCTGGACATCAAAAACTCAAAATTGAATCTAGCTGTGATGAAGTTACAGTAAATTTTAGACTCTGAACTTAATAATCTTACCCTCTTTACTTCAAAATGTGGCAATGTTAGCTGACAGGGGGTGGCTTCCTCCTGCTGCTCATTCTGCTGGGTTGGGGACTGAACTTGTGCCAGAAAGTCCTGCGCTGACACGACTTCAATGGTTCCTAATCTCTTCCTGGTGTACGTAGTAGCCAGAAAGAGCTAAAGCCCCATGCTGATGCTCGATGAGAGAGAGGCAGGTTTGTCTTATTTGTGGCTGTTCCCTGGGTAGAAGACAGCCAGGGGTGGCGTGGCCTGAGCAGAAGAGGAACCCTGCTTGGTTTGTATTGTAGGTCACGGCTTCTGCCGGAGATGCCGGAGCCCAATGCAAAGTGTTTTTTAGGCACAGCATCTATTCAAGCCTTTGAATTTCACGGAATTTGTGTAGGAGGCATGTAGCTGCTGTGTGGCAAATTAGAGCAGTTCACGCCAGAAAATACGGAACAGAATGTGCAGATGATGGGTTTAAGGGTTACTGCTGAGTCCAAAGCTGTGCTGGCTGCAGAAGCGCGGTGAACTGTCGCAGAGTGCAATGCCTCTGGGGGGGTGGGGGGAACAGACTGGACTGCTTATTTTTAAAGCCTTTCCCCCTGCACTTCTCATTGTAAACCAAGGAACCACATCACCCTGTTTAAGCTCTGGAGCAAAGAAAGGTGGGCGGAGGGAGGGGAGAGAATGGTACCCGGTTATAGTTTCGTTTTAGTAAATTCTGCCTTTCCGAATGCTTCAAGTTGTGCCTAGGGACTGTGGAACGGCTCCCCACCCCCCAAATTGAACACTGTCAATGTGCAGCTAGATTGTGTGTGTGTATATATAAAATTATTGGAGAAGCTTTTAGATATTTTGTCATGCAATATATTCCAAACTTGAAGGGGGGGGTCAGAACTCAGCATTTTTTGACCTTTTAATGGAGATAACAGCATTACTCTAAACCAGAGCTTTCCATGCTTTTCATGCTGGTGACACACCTTTTAGACACGCATCATTTTGCGACACAGGAATTCAGTTTTACTATCCAGCCGGAGGTTAAACTAACACCTTTCCAGCCCCAAGAGGAGTGTGAGGAGCATTCACACAACACACCTACAAACTGCAGCAGACACACTAACATGTCGCGACACACAGTTTGGGAAGCTCTGCTCTAACCAAAAGCAAGGACCAATTGATAACTCAGATAACTCGGATTATGTGTCCTTGAGTTCATGTGCAGATTTCTGATCATCAGAGGAGGCAGGAGAAAGCAGGCCCGTGCAGAGCTTGTCTGAGGCCCGGGGTGGGAATCTGGTTCTTGGCATGACAGTGTATGTCTGGCAAGCCCCTGGTGGATCGCCCTCCCCCTCAGACAGCTTTGCCTTCTGAGGCCTGGGGCAAGTGTACCCAGCTGCCCCCGCTCCCTGCACAGGCCTGAAGTAAAGGAACTTAACCCTTTCTCCCCTACTACAGTCCTGAGTGGGAGACGCTTTCCTGAAGCTGATACTTGCTTTAGGGAGGCAGGGAATCTCATATCAATGTCAAATTGGGGGTTTTACTCAGGAAATCAGCTGAGGAACAAAGATTTTAATTTTCCCATCTGCACCTTTTCTGATCACTTTAAGTACTACCTCAAAACATTTTTTTAAAAAAGCCTGCATGCTTTGGGGGTAGGGGTGTACAGTGGTACCTCGGGTTACAAACACTTCAGGTTACAAATTCCACTAACCCGGAAGTAGTCCCTCAGGTTGAGAACTTTACCTCAGGATGAGAACGGAAATTGCGTGGCGGCGGTGGCGGCAGCAGGAGGCCCCATTAGCAAAAGCATGCCTCAGGTTAAGAACAGTTTCGGGTTAAGAACGGACCTCCATAACGAATTAAGTTTGTAACCCGAGGTACCACTGTAATATTATTTTCTTGAGCTTTCATAGCTGGTCACACACAGAAAGAAATGCACAGCATCACACCACATGTAGATCACTGTGTGTTAAACTGGACTGGAGCACATCATGGTGTAAGCAGGAGAGGACCATGTTTTGCTTGGTTCCTCCTTTGAGAGGGTAGGAAATCCTACATATGTAAAACTAGCATGTCACAAAGAAGGCTAGGTGAGACCTCTTCTCCTTGATGTGTGGTGGAGCAGTATTTGATCATGCATTCCCACTTACACATTCTGATGTGCTGCATTCAAGTATTACCCAGATTATAAGTTGATTATCTACACCTTAGACCCTGATATAGTGGCCATGTGTCCTAATTTACAGAGCCCAGTTCTCTATTTGAAGGGTTGTCCACTTTAAAAATAAAGAGCCAAAGGAAGGGAGAGCAGGGACCTGGAGTTTGCCCATCGAAAGTTGGTTACCCGCATAGCAGACTGAGCAGGCATGCTTCTATTTTAAATTATAGAAATTGTTTCTAAATTTGCCTCTGTACATGTAAATAAGCACATGGAAATTGGCACCCAGCTTGCATTGTAGTTTGTGCAGCGCATCATTGTCTTTGGGTTCTTAATTGCCAATCTGTCCAGCAGACCTTCATCTCGTATCTACAAGGGGGAAACTCCCCATCCCCACAGTGTAGATCAATAAAGCAATTCAGCCTGACTTCTGAATTTGGGATTTCTGCTTCCAGCACCTGTGTTGTCTCACATCAAAATGGGGAACATGCGTCTCCACCCAAGAGGCCATGATTTAAAGCCGACTTTCCTTCACCTCCCTGGTGCCCTCCAGGCAGTTTTGGACTACAACTCCCATCATTCTCTGCCAACACAGCCGTGCTGACATGGGCAGTTGGGACTTGTAGTCCCAAGCATCTGGAGGGCACCAGGTCCTCAAAGGCCAGAGTCGCTCTGCTTGCCAGTTTTCCAACTGAAACTCAGATGTGATTTGCAGTAGCTCCTCAATGATACCTGGAGTTGGAAAAAGAAAAAAAAAGCACTGCAGAATATAGAGCAAATACGCATTGACAGAAATGAGGAAAAAAATATTTTGCAGATTGCAAACAACTGACATAAGAATAGACTTTCGAGACATCGGTCTAATTCATGTTTACTGCATATGGTTGGGTGATGCTGATAGGAGCTGGCTTATTGAAGTAAAGCGCATCAGAGTGAATATTTCCTTGCTTTTC